GGGTGAGTGTTAGTGAAAGTTGTGTATGTGAAAGTCTGTCAGGTTCATACCAGTGTTGGGTTCTCCACTATGTAGTTGGTGTCAGGAGCATTCTGCTGGTCCTCCTGGGGGTCTGCATCAATCTGCATGGGCTCCACAGACCCCTGACAGAAACACAGCGGGTACAGTGATTAGCAGATGTCACAGTGCAACATCTGATCCCCATTCAAATAAAATTACAATAAATACCACTGAAGTTAATTTAGTGAGAACTGAGAATATGTAACAGTGAGCAAATCATTATGGTTTCTAGAAATTAAGATAAGATTTTATACAGTCAACCAGTTGAATATTAACAACCAAAACAAAGAGCACTCAGCAGCATGTGCCAGCAGCTGAGCTCTGTAAATATTCTCCAGTTTAACTTCTGTTGTTCAAGGTGATGCTGGTTTCTTAAATAAGTCACTTTACACTAGACCTGGGGCTTCAGCACCAAGCAAGTTCAACCTAGGCAAGAAAGCTTCACTGAGCCTAACAGCCTCAATGTAACTGTCCATGTTAACTGCAGGGATTTTTTAACTGAGGTACAAATAAAGGCATGTGAAAGAAGCAGGGTTGTTACCTTTAAGCAACATCGCAAGAATCATGAATAAAGGAAATAATAAGAAATGAGGTGAAACTGTGATACCCGGGGTAAGATCAGCTGCAGCGATATGAGAAAGTGACTTTCAAATGAGATCAACTGTGAAAATAATAAAATAAGTCTTCTGTAGTTCTACACAAGACAATTTTTTTTCACTTTGGAACTACTTTAATGTATTAAAAGAAGCCTGAGGCTTTTAATATACACAAAGGAAGTTTTCTGTACGATGATAAAGAAACTATTCTGAGTATGTGATGCACATAAAAAAGATTAAAGTGATGAGTTACTTCCAGAGGTCATTCTCTGGAGGTACAGAACTTACAATGCTGATAAAATGTACATTTACATTGAGAGAAGAGAAGAGAAGAGAGGAGAGTTGAGTTTATTATGTCTGGTAAGGTTTATCTGACTGAAAGGTTGCATTTATAATCATGAGAAATAATTCAGTGTGGGGATTATTTTTCTGATGAAAGAACAGTGTTTCGCCAAGTCTTCGTGTTACTCTGAGCTGCAGACACAGAATATGAGTGTACAAGTACAGATACTGACAGGACTCATGTTGGGAATAAAATAATCTTTGCGCAGTTCAAATCCAGCTGTGATGTTTAAGTTAATTGTACTGGCAAACATTTACTCTGTGTGTACGACCTGGAAGAAACAAATACTGTTGTACTCATCACATCTATTGCTCTTTATTATTTCTCACTCTCTTTGTATCTTTTTTGGTCCACATGCCGGTTCTCCTGGGAATGTGATTTATTAGAGGTTGGGACTGTTGATAGGTTTCTGCTCAGGAGGAGGATAACTAGGCAGCATCACCCAGTTAAAAGTGAGCCAGCTTCATGACGCCACAAAACTTGATAAAACACCACTCTGTGCTATCGGCTCCAGCAGCTGTTTATCAAGTCTCAGTGTCAGGCTTCTGGATGCAGGGCTTCAGATCAGCAATGGTACACTGATCACGATCACTGGAGCTTACACTCAAACTGAATTCATTTCCACGCCATCAAATACAGTCTGTCGCTTCTGAATTACTGCACCAAGACGTGTTAGTGCTCATCGATGTATTGGTGAACAGCTATGTGAGAGGTGTGGGTCTTCCGCATGGATGTACAGTACGTTCCAACCTCACAACAACTATTCACATCAGTCTTGTCCTACACAGGACGCACTGTTGGTAACAGCCAAGCTAGCATGTCCCTGCTGTGTTCCTGAAGGGAATTAGCAGGAGTTAGCTTCTTAGCGTGCTAACCTGCTGATAAAGTGAGGGTTACACATTCACAACTTTGGTTACTGACTGTGAAATAGCATTAGCATTAGTGAGAGAAACGTCTTGCAGAGCTAATGGCTGCATTTGTGCTACAGCACTAGCTACTATTTGGGGCTAATACAACTAGCCGCTATTAACGGGTATTTAGCTTGGTAACGCTAGCTGCGGACGACTGCAGCTGTACATGTTCGTCTTGGTGTTAAGCAATGTCTGAAAATATGTTCTTGCTTCACATCTGACAGCCAAGCTAAGAGTTGCTTGTTGTTTAGCCAGTGAGCGTCACCATTACAGCTCCGTTACCGTCACTGTTGATGTTATTGTCCACCGGAGGCCTTCACCCCGCTGCTAGCCTCCAGCTGCCAAATCCATTTAGATCATCGGTTACATGTTTGAATGTTTGGCTTCTTCGCAGATACACGGTCATTAAAAAGTCTTCATGAAAACATGAGGGACATTCTTTATAATGTTCCGGCATAATCTAAATCTCCCAACAGGAGTCAGTCAATAAGAATCACATGAATTTGCTCTTCCTTACGTTCATTTCACCGAGATGCGCTGTGTCTGTGTTGGGCAGCAGCTTTAGAATGATGCCAGCCAAAAGCTGACCTGTTGAGATGAGTTCACACGACCGACAGCGACGAGAAACTACTGACGCGGTGTGATCGCGAACTGCGAACAGCCGTAGTTGTCGACCGCTTCAACTAGCTAGCTAACTGCAAGCTAACTGAGCTAACTCCATCGGTGCCGAGGACACACGTTCAGCTCCCAGCAACCTTCGCTGACGGGCAGTGGTGGCAGAAGCTTACCTGGAAGTTAAACACTTGTACGGGCAGAGGCATCTTGTTTCGTCGTGTGCTCGTCGTCCTGCGGTGGATGTAGCATGAGGGTGTCAGCGGGCAGCACGCACTCCTGCAGCAGTAGCAGCTGGTGGGCTGGTCTGAACCTGCGGTCTGAACTCACTCTGCTGCCGGGAGGAAGCAGTTCGGCCTCCACACCACAAGGTGCTGGATATGCACTGGGACGTGGGACGGTGGCCCATGTTTGCAGTGCTTTTCTATTATGAAATAATGTCAGTGATCATTTCCCACATGTACTCTGAATATATCATGCACGTTCTTAAATGAGTATGGTGTGTAACCCTGCAGCTTAGTGCTGCTCAGTCCAACAAGGCACATGTGGTTCTGAGAGTTGGTGTCTTACAGTATGTTGCATTGTCTCCTGAGCACCAAACATATGGGCTGTTGATTGTAAAGATGGAAATAATAGTTTTATCTTATTTGCCTTCAAAGTGTTTTAAAATATGTATTTATTTACCTATTTATCTGGTGTTTTTTAAGTGTCCTTGTCCTATTCTGTGTTTTTATTTTTATTTTTTCTACCTCAGTATTATTATTGTATTGTATTGTATTTTTATTGTATCCAAATACCGGACTGCTATGGCGACCTAATTTCCCTTTGGGGATAAATAAAGTAATCTATCCATCTATCTATCTTTCTATCTATCTATCTATCTATCTATCTATCTATCTATCTATATATCTATCTATCTATCTATCATATTCACTGCAATATCTATGAACAACAATGTCAATGAAAAATCGAAATATTAAATTCAAACGTTAAATCGATGTTCAATGTTAAATCTAAATGTAAAAAATGAAACTAAATCTAATTGTTACAGAGAGAATATAGTTTATTCACTAAAAGTTATTTGACGGTCACTTTGAATCATTCAAACTTTCCTAGATTATTTCAGTTATTGTCTTTAATATTAACTAATATTATTTTATTATCTTTTATCACTATACTTCCATTTCACTACATTTTAGAGAAAATTTACTTCTTCAGACAGTCCTCAGAATAAAAATGCATCCCCACTGTCAGAGAATAAAACAATAAATTACTGAATGTACTGGGCAGCCTGGTAGATAACGATGTATAATAATAATGTATGAGTTGCATGAAAAATGGTTTATGCTGTGAATTATCAATCATAGAACCAGATATATTTACTGCCATTCTGAGAGATGGGTTGAAAAAGATTTTCACCATATTCAGATGTGTTTCACTTTGGATAAGACATGTGGAACTGCACCAAGAAGTTCCTTACACCTAAAATATAATGACGGAACAATGACCCTGATTCCTGCTTGTTATCAGAAAACTGGCTGCTAAGTAAATGCAGATGGGTGGAGTCAATGAAATCAATAAAATCTATGTGAAAAACTGATCATTTCAATCTCTCTCTCTCTCTCTCTCTCTCTCTCTCTTTCTTTCTTTCCGTCTCCTATCCTGTGGATGCTGACCAGGCATGTCATTATCCTTTGCTGCGCGTCACAGCTCGAAATCCCAATTAATAATGCTATTAATAGCAATAATCTTTCAATGGTTATTCACACAGTCATCTACAGGACCACTAACAGATACAATGTCGACATCTGAGGTGAATGAAGTAATCAGATCGTTGATTTAAGTGCGTTATTGTTATTTATGTAGTAAATGCTACATCATTAGGAATCTAATTATAGCCTAATAAATAGAGGGATTTAAAGTTCCAGTGCTTCAGATTTAGGTAAATAGAAATTGAATATAAAATAATCTTTATGATGTTTTCACTGGTGTGTTTCATCTAAATTGTATGAATCGTTTTCTCTACCATAGAACAGGCTCTTTATATTTAAAAACTTTATGTTTACATGGAGGGGACCCTCTCTGTGGAGGCAGCCATGTTTTTTACTGTCGTCCAAACTGGACAAACTAAAATCTTTTGAGTTTTCATGACAACTGAAGTTCACCACAGGTTCTCTCTCATGTTGGGAAGGGGAGGGTGAGGTGAGGAGTCTTCAGCTGCAACATGCAACTTCACCTCTAGATGTCACTAAATTCTACACACTGAACCTTTAAACACAGGTTGTAAAAAATAATCTAAGCAGAATTTAATTCATGGTTTAGCATTTAATGACTCACAGTTCTGATTCATCTGTGATATACTGGTATCATGTTGGGACTATGAATAAATAAATGAAAAGAATGGATCTCTCAGTCTGACTTGTTTGTCCTTTTCGTGGCACGCGAACTGCTGTGAGCGCGCGCGCCTAAAATGTCACGCGTATCAGCTGCTGCAGAGGCGCGCGCGTCACAGAGAGGAGGCGGATTCACGCGTGGATCTAAATGCGTGTCAGTCACTTTCCCTTCATGTCGGTGGATCTTCTGTTTCTGACCGACCGCACCGGGGACAGACAACCGCGCGGCTGCACTGAACAGACCGTGTTAGCGCGCACGCAGACGTGTCAGCGCTGGTTTGGCGGACTGCGGTAAAACTGCTCGGTCGTTCACGCGCTTCGGAAACTAATTCATCTCAAGTACCGAGGGAGTGGATGTGCACGTGCCGGTGTGACAGAGTGAAGCTGACGCGGAGATTAATCCCAAGCGAGCTCGTCTGAACCACTTCCATCCATCCATCCATCCAGCCGGGACCTGCCGCGCTCTGCTCCCCGCCGGGCTGCGTCCCCCCTCCCCGCTGCGGTGCGAGGCGGCGGTCCGCTCTTCTCGGTGCTGACTCTGTTATGCTCGGCTGCGCAGCTACCGGCCGATCAGCACCGAACACCGGCTCCCTCTCTTTCACATGGGCGGAGACGAGGAGGGGGTCAGCGCCCGGAGAAACCGCGGAGGGAACGAGGAGAGCGGAGAGAGCGCAGCGTCCCTGGACCCGGACAGAGAGAGGAGCTACGCGGAGCTGTTCGAGCAGCTCGACTTGAATAAAGATGGCAGAGTAGACATCGGTGAGCTGAGGACCGGACTGGCAGCCCGTGGTTTACACCGGGGAGAGGCAGAGGAGGTGAGGAGAGCAGGGGTGTTGTACTCCGGGACAGTGCCTCAGGCTGAGGCTGTAGGTCAGGTGCACGTGCAGGGTGAACTGAGGCAGCTGTAGCCTATAGTAACATCAGCCTGTTGCAAACCGAGAGGAAGCCTGACATCTGCAATCAAGTCATTTCACTAGCCTCTGTACATATTGCATGAAGGGGGGGGTCATCCATATGTTGATCAGCCACTTTGGTGGTATAGAATTGTACCAAGTTGCTTGCTGACTGCAGTGTTCCACACTTAAGATGAAGTGGAGGATAAACCATAAACACTTGTTACCAGATGCCTAGCAACAATGTTCTTACAAGTTTAACCATCTGAACGCCAAAGCATAGTGTGAACTCCACTTCCTGTATGAAGAACATGGGTTTTAAGGTAATGACTGCCAGTGATCACAATCAGCCATCATATATATCATCATATAGAGGCTACATAAACAATCATTGTCATTTATATCATCACGTAAAGGAATAGTCCATTAAAAATGGATATTCACTCATCATCTGCTCAGCAGAATGACGATGGAGGGGTTGGTGGAGTGTTTGAGTCCACAAAACACTTCTGGAGTCTCACACACTCTCACCCAAGGGCCCGAGCAGGGTGCGCTTTGCATCGCTACATCCCCTAGCTTCATTACGTCTGGTAGTGAACCTATAGGCCGAAAACTTGGCGTCCAATATAAATGTCAGGGCCTGTGGACACTTGGATGACACCACATTAGCAGTATGGAGGCATGTTGTTTTTTTTTCTGTTGTTGTATTACATCTGAAAAAGGGGTCACTTTGGCTGAAACATCCCTGAGACTCAAAAAGAGTTTTATGGACTCCAACACTTCACCCACCCCTCCATAGTGGTGAGTAGATAATGAGTAAATATTCATTTTTTGGTGAACTTTCCCTTTAAGAGCCTTCAGGTTTGGTTTTAAAAACTGTGAAGTCCCCATCAGATCAAAATTAGATTTCTAATTTTGTATCCTCTCTGAAATATATTATTGTTGATTCTATAAGAAGGGTTTGAATTCAAACCTGTGTATGAAATCAAATGACTCAGACAGGATTGTGGCATTGCAATGTCTGCGCTCTCTTCATAAATAATGATCCTCTGATCACGTTGGAAGTACACAAGCTCCTCTTTTGAGAATTCAAGCAGCTCTCACCATGGCCACCACGTCTCAAACCCCCCCCGTGTGAGTCAGGACCTCCTGATGACATTGAAAGACTTCTACAACTCACCCATTGAGTTGAAAAGCTGTATGAATAACGTATGAGAGCACTGAGATCAGTGTGTGGGGTTACATTCCTGTTTCTCCATTACAACCAGGGAAGCTCCCACAGTGTGGATGCCACAGAGGTTTGAACAGAGATTCATTTCATCATTATCAATGGGGCTTCGAGTAAATTTGAAACAACTTACTTATCAAAATGATGGTGAATACTTATTATCTTACACTTGATCTTAAAAGATATATAAATAATTATTACATAATATAGAAAATATTCACCGCAATGTTTTAACTGCATATTTATAGATGCATATGACTTCTTGAAAAATGAGCCTTCAAATAATCATAAATGACGTCTGACCAGGTTTTTATTGGTCCAAAGTGCAGTCACTTTCCACTGGCTCAAAACAACAATGTGCTTGACCACACCTCGTTATGAGACCATGGGCGTGCAGGTTCTTGGAGGGCACTGGCCGCTGAAACATTCTGAAACTGGCAGAGACGGTTGCATTGTGCTTGGTGCGTTTTTTGCAGCTGGTGTTAGAAAGAAGCTGAGAAAAGTCCAGTGGGTGACAGTATGGTCACAGTAAGCACTGACAATGAGGAAGAGTGTGCATGAACAATTCCAGGGGAAGCTGAAACAGCATCCATCATTTTATTTTAAACTGCCATTATTTGTCAAAACAGTCTTTGTCGGCATCGAGACACGTTTGAAATGATGAAATTTACATATGATCATTTTAACTGTGGCAATGATTCTTCAACACTATATAGTGCAGGATTTTCATTACACAATATGGTATTCAAAATCCTACATGTTACTTTATTACTTATTACGTCACAGTGATGTGAGCCATTTCAATGACTTTTAATTGTACTGTTAAAAAACCAAACAGTGCAGTCACGTCTCACACTTTGGTGAGACTGCCATTTCAAGTCATTCATCTACCTCTTACAGGTCAGTGACTAATTTGTGTGGCCTGGTTTTAAGACTGTGTAAAGACAACCCGTTCTGGTTTGCAGAGGAATCGAACCCTCTGTGGATGAATATTTTAACAGTCTGTAACAATCTGTAGCACAAACCTGCTCCACTGCTAACCTTAGCTGACAACTGATTTGTCAGTCTGGCTCTCATGTGCCGTCCCTGGATCTACGTAGTTTTGGCAGGATCACAGTCAACAGTGGGGCCAGTCCTATAGATGCTAATGATTGTGACTGGTGAGGATACACCATTTTTCTGGGTGTTTCTCCGTTGGCGTTACTCTTTTACAAAATGAACTGGCACAAGTTACAACATCAGAGCCTCGTGTACAGAAATGTTCTCATTAAGTTGACTTTAGAGAAACTGCCGTAGACATGATGTAGTCCTTCCTGTCTCTCTGACCAATCAGTAAAACAGTGGCTCCAATCACAGCACATCTGATATCTGTAATGGTTGGAAACGACAGTGAAGTGACTGCTAGTTAACATGTCATCTTAATGGCTCATGTTTCAGTCCGTTATCTGACACAGAAACAGGATCAATGATGCAGTTATGACATGGATATGCGAATTAGCATATTTTGTCATCTACCTTCTAACATCACAGGTTTTCAAGCAGGGTGCAGCAGTAGTTGTTTCTAAGTTTTGGTAGTCCTCATGACTTCCTATGTTCAGTTGCTAGCTACTGTCAGCTCGGCCACACAGGCATGATGCACATTCAGCGCTATAGGCTGCTACACTTCTCCAGTCAATAGAATTTAGATTGTTCTAAATAGAGATGTCCTTGTTTGTTACTGTTGTTATTGTCCAATGATGTGTACTGTGCTACAGGTGTTGCTCTGTTGTTTCATGGGAGGTGACTTGTATGGGTGTAAATAAATAGCACTCTCCCTTATTCTTATAAAATCACAACTTTATTCTCATTATATAACGACTTTACTCTCGTAATATTACAGCTTTGTTCTCGCAAGATTACTATTTTCTTATCGTATTAATACAACTTTATTCTTGTAAAATTATAAATTAATTCTCGTAATATTAGCCTTCAACTTTATTCTTGTAATATACTTTTTTTTTTAAACAAATTCCACTGTTTTGTGCTCTGTGGTCCAGCCTTCCTCTATATTTCACTGCATGTTTTGTTGTCAGGTTTTCAGTATCCCGGCAACCGAGACAAAGATTTAGAGCAGAAGATGAATGCACCATCATGTCCATATTGTAATGTGAAATAATACATGTCATTCCTCTTTTATGTGAGTATTGCCCTGCTGGATAGGTTACAGCAGAGCTGTTGTTGCTAAGATGTTTGTTGAGGTACAAACAGTCACAGAGCAGCACCCCTCATCGGGGGTGCTTTGCCTGCTTGGTACTCACTGCTTGCTTTTCTTCAGACTCAACCTCTTCTCACAAGAGAATGTTTGGGGCTTGGCACCTGCACACACTGCGATCCACAATCATGACCACAGTTTATGTTTCTGGAGTTTTGTGTCCTTCATCTTGCATGTTAAACGTCCATCAAACAGCAACTTGTACTGTGATTACTGCGACTAGTGCAGGGAACATTACCAGCAAAATAGCCTGGAACATTCATTCATTCATTCAGCTGATCCGATCACATGTGGACAACTCCTGAGTACAGGTGTGAAAGTAACCAAAACACATTTAGATTGGAGGTGGTCTGAGACATATGTGGCTGTTAAGACCTGGTATTAACATCTGTCCTGAGAGATCTGATCACAAGTGGACAAGTTCTTCTGTTCACTGACATTAGTATGCATATTGAACCCTTCCTCCTGTGACTATACATGTGATCCGATCCACATCCTCGTTTATTTGCAACACACACAAATGTCGTTTCTGTCCACACAGACAGAAATGATGTTGTTTTTAACCAAACAAACAAAACTAAAAAACAGTTATGAAAATATAACCTCTTCCACAGAACTAATAGAATGTTTTATTTCTAGTTAGAATAGGTATTCACAAATGTGTTTTCCACCTCTCTTTGCAATATAACAAGTCTTGTGTCCTCTGTCTCTCTGTGTCCTAATCAAGAGAGGAGAGATTATGTTCACAACCAGGTAGGACGTGGTTTATGTCTTCACTCTCACAGGGAGCACAGTGGCTTGTCCTCACTCTCTACCCCCCCACCACCACCACCGCCACCCCAGCTCCATGGTGTAATCCCTGCTGAGTGACTGACGGTCTGTCTCTGTGCTCACAGATCGTCCTCGAGAGCGACATCAACCATGATGGTCTGCTGGACCTCCAGGAGTTCTCTCAGTACCTGCAGGCTCACGAGAAAAGGCTGCAGCTCATGTTTCACAGCCTTGACCGCAACAATGATGGTGTGGGCACACTAAACACACACAAAGAGACACATATTTTAGTTCTCCACCAATTCGCCCTCATGATGTTTTTTTCAGTAATACATATGAAATACACTGTATACCGTCTTTATATGGACTGAGCTTTAAATCTCTCTGGTCTGCTCTGTTCAGCTCTGTTTTGCTCTGCTCGGTAGGTCGGATTGACGTGGGGGAGATCCAGCACTCGCTGCACAAACTTGGAGTGGAGGTCACCATGGAGCAGGCCTCCAGAATATTGCAGAGGTGCATTGTTTGTGTGTTAGAAGGAGAAAAAACAGTACATATCATTGAAAATAATCATAAAATTAAAGTACTGCAGGTGTCTTGCTCCTGAAGCCAGGAGCATCACTTTAATCCTACTTTTATAATGCTGCATTTGTTCAATTTAATGAGATTTGCCCACTATGTGGCAGAAATACAATGACTGTATTTTATGTCTGTGATGTTGACAGAACATTTTATTCACCGTCACTGCTTCCTACACCTCCCAGATCTTAAAGTACTCCGTTTGATTGAGTTTTGTTCAGAAGAATTTGAAGTTTGATACTAACTTGTTCCAAACATAATGTCAGTTAGTGGTTTTCTTGTCTCTGAATAGTTTCTGACAGAAGAACAATGCATTTATTCATGAACAGTAATAGTATACTTCAGTTAACCACATACTGTTCATGTCAAGTTTGACCCATTTTGACATTTGACAGCTGTAGAAATACCCTAAATGTTATTATTTTAGTCAGAAATGTGATGACTTTTGTGTCTCAAATACATAAAAATGAAAATATTTACAAATGTTGTACTTTCGTACGGGTGCTACAAATTTCACATTTCACCCGTATCTTTTGAGATGGATTTTGGATCAACCAGTGTGGGTCAAATCAAGAAAATTGTGGTTTTAGGGAATCTGTGAAACTGTACACACCATGTCTGTGTGTATTCTCTCAGGAACAGAGACGTTGACACTGTAAGAAGTGTCTGTGCTCCCACCACATTTGCCCAGATTCCTGCAAAGACAGGCACCTGCTGGTCTTTGAAGGGTCATGGGGGATTCTTGAAAGAGTAAAACAGCATAGAAGTGATCATATATGGTGGACATAAGAAACATTTAACACAATCATAAAATCTTAAAAATAAACAAATTAGAATCCATTTATCCTGAGCTAGCTGAGATCAAAACAGAGCTCAAAAGAGGGGTTGGGGGGGGTCATAAGATTACAAAAGTAAGTGAGCTGCCATTTCAGTGACTGGGGTTACGGCAGCAAGATATACTGTGCAAGAGGCCCTTGAGCTGATCTTCCAAGATGAGTAAGCAAATAGTGCTTTGGAGGAGGATGTGTCAAAGCAGGAAGAAAACATGGATTCAAAGTGATGAAGAAGACTCTGAGGGAGAGAAGCAGGCAGCAAGGGAGACATTTATGTCGAAAAACTATGCCATCAGTTGGTCCTTACATCCACATCAAGTTGCAGGCAGGTGGAAACATCATTCCAGTGACTCAGTTTTAACGGTTATAATAGTTTAAGTGCTAAAAACAGGTCAACTGGACTAAGTTCAATTTCTTGAAGCTGTTCACCTCTCATCCAAGAGACTTTTGGCTCAGGGGTTAGAGCAGTCGTCCACCAACCAGAAGGTTAGCAATTTGATCCCATTCTGTTGCCAAAGTGTCCTTGGGTAAGATACCAAACACCAAATTGCTCCTACACATAGAAAAGTGCTGCACAAGGGTGCACTGTATGAATGTGCGTGTGAATGGGTGAATGTAAAACTACTGTAAAAGTGCTAAGAGTGGTCATCAAGACTAGAAAAGTGCTATATAAATACAAACCATTGTTTGTGTGTGAGAAGGGTAACCTCAACGACCCTACAAGGTAAATTCCTGGGACTCCCTGCAGTCAGTTAGAACCGTAGAAGCCTCTTGGATGAGAGGTGAAACGTCTTCAGTTGACCTGTTTTTAACACTTGGATATACTATGACCTGAATCACTGAGAATGTTTTCACATCTTACGTAAAGCAGGACATGAAATTGTGTGATAGTAGATATTTTTCTCCAAAACTGATTGGTGTAAAACCTCAAAAATATACTCTCCCTGCTTCCTGAACATTAACATTAACATTGTCAGATATTTATACATTCTAAATAAAACTGTAGTTCAAATTCAGTATAGACCATAATTATGCAGGATTTCTTTGCCCGGGTCAAAATTTGAGTCACTGAAATGTTCATGGTACCATTTAATGAAGTAAAAGTGTGTGGTAATCTGCTGATGGCCCTGTCCTGTATGTTCTCTTCCAGTATGGACAGGGATGGAACTATGACCATCGACTGGAATGAATGGCGTGATCACTTCCTGTTTAACCCCTTCCACAACATGGAGGAGATTGTCCACCACTGGAAACACTCCCATGTGAGTCACTGGGCTCCATTGATTGTAATGTAATGACAGTGATGACATCCTGACAGTATGTTTACATTTATACGTCTGAGAACAGAAGCAGGAGGTAGCACCATTTTACAAAGTGTAACCAAAACATAAAACAGGTGATTGGGTACAAAAGTGGTTCAACAACACTGCTGTGTTAATTATAAAGACAGGTATAGATTACATTGTCTAAGGTCATTGAATAAAACCAGTTCTATTTTGTTTTTTTTACTATCTTTATTGAAGAGCATGGTCTTTCAGATTGATAGCAGGACTTATTGGTTCAGATTTTGTAATGCTTTCACTCAAAACCCTGCACTTGTACTCAGATAGCTCCTATCTGGTTTAGATTTGGTCATGGAATTTTGAAATATTTATTGCACAAACACATCCAAGAGCAGAGGAGGAAACAGCAGCAAACATTTTATGTGAGAAGAGCTGTCCAAGCAACAAAATGTCTGAGTGCAAGCTCAATTTGAGCACAAGCAGAGCAAATCTAATCACAAGCAGAGCAAATCTAAGCTCAAGTATATTTGAGTGCAAGCGCAGGGTTTTGAGTGAAAGCATTACAAAATCAGATCATGAAATCAATCAAATCTCAATCTGAAAGACCACGCTCTTGAATAAATAAAGGAAATACCGATATTCTATATACTTAAGGGTCTACGAACAAATAAAGATCGGGCATTTGATTTCTAATGTTGCAATAGATGTTTGACATTGGGGAACATCTGACAGTGCCCGATGAGTTCTCAGAGCGGGAGCGGCGGTCAGGTCTAGTGTGGAGGCAGCTGGTGGCTGGAGCCATGGCAGGGGCAGTGTCCCGGACAGGAACCGCTCCTCTGGATCGCCTCAAAGTCTTCCTGCAGGTCAGTCATCTCACATCCACCAACATGATACAAAGACTCAACGCTCAGTGATAGACAGGCATGTTAAGTATTGTAATGGAAACCATACTTTATATTTCACAGTATGTGTGGTCGTGTCTCAAGCTCTTTATTATATTGCAAATAGGCATGTTGCATGTTCCCCACTTTACCCTAATCTTTGTATTTGAATTGTAATATTAGTTTTGTAAAAAAAAACTGTGAAAAAGCTGTGTATAATGTGATACTAGACATTTGTGTGTGCATGTAGCAACATCTTTTTAAAGGCTGAAGCCAACTTTGATTTTCACTTCGCTTAGAGAAATGAAATAAAGCACATGGTGGGTAGTTTGGGTGGGTGGTTTGAGCGTTCTTAGCAAAAACACAGACAAAGGTTTGCTCTGCCCGTGATTAAAAATATCACAGCCCGTTTAGATAAGAGAGGAATAACACTGATCAGTACCTGGAAACCTCCTACTCCTTTATTAAAGTAAAATAAGAAACTCTGTGATTACTGATAAAAGGTTTAAACCTAATAACCAATGTCTCTACACAGCATTACTTCAGTGTTAGTGCGGTTTATTTGATTTTTGAGTGTTAAAGCAGCTATAATTGATATTTCAATATTAATAATGGGGCTATATGTGAAACGGGTACTCTGCAGTACTGCAGTTTCATAACATTGTTTAGCTCACTGTTGTTTTTCGATGTGCAACTTGTGCCACAGCACAAAGGTGATTTCAGTGAAAGAGCTCTGATAAACTTACTTTCCGCTACCTGCTCAGCAGCACACTTAGAGACTTAACTAGAGAACAGGTGAGCACAGTGGAGTATTCACCAGCTACAGAGTCAGATATGTCCCTCAGCCATTTGTGGTGGAGTAATAGTATTCGGTCTAATCCTGAACTATATCGCTCTCTGAGTGCCCAAGCATATGCCTCCACCAAGGCTGAATGTATAGTATATATATATATATACTTATTTTGATTCACAAAGTCTGCTTCATTCTCTGGATCTGCACCAATTTTCAGTTGTTTGTAGATATTAACACTTTTCTTATGCTTAATTCTTTCTTGAAAAATTCACCAATTACCTTGGCCCATACCCCACCCATCCATAAGTTTAAAAAATAATAATTTAAATTGCATAATCCTGCTAAACAGCAGCCTAATGAATTCTGTCTCTTCAACTACATTTTTGGGAGCTTGCAAGCTTCAGGTACAACATCTCCTTTTCCTTCCTGTTCAGTTTTTTGTCTTCTACCTGTAGGAAATACATACCACCCACCTTCTATAACAAAGGTCATCCCGCCTACAGTGACATTTTAAACATTTATAACCTAGCACAGGTTGTAATGACATGACTGATCTGCCCTTGTTGATGGTCCAGGTACACGGCTCTGCGTCTCGAGGGATTAATCTGTGGTCTGGACTGAGGGGAATGGTCAAAGAGGGAGGCATCGTCTCACTCTGGAGGGGAAATGGTATCAATGTCCTCAAGATTGCCCCTGAATCTGCCATTAAGTTTATGGCCTATGAGCAGGTCAGCACATTCATATGAATCACTGTAGTGGGAATCTGATGGCTAGCCTTGACAGTTTGCTTTAGTCATTGTAGAAATAAAAAGGAAATCAGGTCAGGATGATAAAATGACGTGGAGTCAGGTTCTGACAGAGGTTTCTCCACAGTCGCCAAAGGGCTTGTTCATTGTGGGAACTGTTGGGTTTAATATGACAGCTTCTGACTCTGCTACCTATGAGAGTAGGTATTTAGTTTAATTTAGTTTAAAAACAAATAAATAGAATAAAAAGGCACAGAGGTAATGACGTCTGATCTACTTAGCGGGACACATGGCTTAATAGCACTGCCATACAAGCCAGTAGCCAGTCAGATTTACCTTTAGCCTCCTTCAATGTTATTGTGATTAGTAGGCTGAAATACTTGATGACACCAAGGTACAATTGAAGATACTATTTTCATTACAACAACCAGTCTTACAGAGCTCAAATGTGATGGTTAAACTGCTCCATGGCCCAAAACATTACCTGAATTGAAAACCTTTTTATTATAATGTATTCTTCTTCTAGTCATGGATTTTATTATTGTTCCTGTGAAGCACTTTGTAACTTTGTTTAGATAAGTGCTATAAAATACAGTTATCATTATTATTATTATCTCATGCTGCATTTTACAATATCACCAGCTCTTGTCTGTACGTTATGTCATCCCCTCCTCCTTGCCTTCCTCTTCTCTGATTCTTCTCCAGATCAAGTGGGTGATCCGGGGCAATAGAGAGGGGGGCAGTTTGAGGGTACAGGAGAGGTTCATTGCTGGGTCTCTGGCAGGAGCTACTGCCCAGACCATCATTTACCCAATGGAGGTCAGTTTAAAAAAGGTTTCACTTATCTATTTCTTTTCGCTGTATGTTATCTATATTCTCAATTTTAAATTGTAGGGTTCCTCTTAAGTAAGATATGACGTTGTCATTGATTTAAATGTTTAAATGATTATGACTCAAGTTTTGATATAAATAAACTCCCTAAAGTTGTACTGTGTTAGTTTCCAAGAAGGTTCAAGTCTTCAGCTGTAAGACTGTTCCTCTTGAATCAGGAAAGACACAAATTGACATGAATGCAGAGTCTTTATTTAAGACTAGATCCCATGAGTATTCATTAAGTAAGTAAAGTTTATTCAAGTGCTCCACAAGAATACAGTTGATAAAAGTTAAAATATAAAAGAAACAGAAAAAAGCCTTTGCACACAAAAAAATAGGAAAGCTTGGCAAATGCTATTTTGAATAAATTAGGTTTCAACTTATTTTGAATGGATCCCCAGAGACTGCAGATCGTCGATATGAAGGACATTCCATAAGTTAAATGCTTGTTCAGCTTTTGTTTTTAATTGTGTGCGAGGAACGACTAGTGAGCCCGGATCAGAAGACCTATGCGACCTGCTGCTGATGTAAGGTAGCAACAGGTTATAGATGTACATAGGTTCCTGGCCATGGAGTGCTCTGTATGTTTTATGGAGAACCCTAAAATGAATTCTGAATTTAATGGGAAGCCAATAAAAAGAGTATAGAATGGGTGTGATGTGGGTCGTCTTGCTGGATCCGTTCAGTAGCCTTGCAGCAGCCATCTTGACCATTTGTAGGCGGTCCACAGATGATTTGGTAAGGCAGGTAAGAAATTTACTGTAGTAAGGTTTGCGAGATATAAGACCATGAATTATCATCTCCAGTTCAGGTTTGGATAACTACTTTCTGCATTGACACATACGAGATGTGTCACTGGCAAGCGTTGGATAAAATGGCAGATCAGCTGAAGGTTCATCAGGATCCAACAGTCTGAAGGTGGGCGAGGAAGAAATCATAGGACCTTAATAGAGCAGAAAGTTGATTCAATGGATGAGACATGTCTTTTTGTCGCTATTTCTGTGCCAATCAGAAAACAAAGACCAGTTTTATCTCTTTTGTCTAGTTGGAGAATTACCCTTATGCTACTTGTCGTCCTCACTCACTTAATAATTGAATTGTTTATTCTTCTTCCGCCCTCTCCTGTCCCCCTCTGCTGTGTAGGTGCTGAAGACTCGTCTAACTTTAAGGAAGACGGGACAATACTCAGGTATGGCTAATTGTGCCCGACAGATCCTGCAGAGAGAGGGTGTCCGAGCTTTCTACAGGGGCTACCTGCCAAACACCCTGGGCATCATCCCCTATGCTGGCATTGACTTGGCTGTATATGAGGTATGTGTCTGTGGGAGGTTATATATGTGCAGTGGAAGTAATACAAAATACACTGGGAGGTATATATACTATGTTCATGTGTACAGCCGATTATTCTTAGACCATGACGTTTTTTGTTATTATTTTGTCAGTATGGGCTAGTGAGTTGAGTTCTTTGTCAGCAGTCTGACAGCTGAGGGGGAGTGCTTCTCATAGACTGAGGTGATGGAAAGGAGTGTGGTCTTGATGATGCATTGGGGGATTCCCCCCCCCCTGCAGTGATTTCTGGTCCTTGGTGGTGCAGTTGCTGTGCAGGTGGTGAGGATGCTCTCGGTGGTGCTGCGGGAGGATAAGAGGAGTTTTGCCAGTTTCCTCAGAAAGAAGATGCTCTTATGGGCCTTCATGATTAGGGCTGTGGTGTTGGGGGTCCAGGAGTGGTCCTTAGAGCTGTGGACGCCCAGGAACTCAAAGTTGGTGACATGCTCAACCTCCTCCCCATTAATATGGACAGGAGTGTGTGTGACTTTCTTGCTTCTTCTGAAGTCCACAATGATCTCCTTGGTCTTTTTGGTGTTGAGGGCCAGTTGCTGGACCTCTTCCCCGTAAGCCGTCTCGTCACTGTTGTTGACGAGCCCAACCACTGTAGTGCCATCTGCAAACTTGACAATGGTGTTTGAACCATGCTCGGCATGCAGCCCTTTGGGAGACCAGTGTTCAGGGTGAGGGTTGAGGATGTGTGATAGTGATGAACCCACAGCAAATGATCATTAACTGTACAGTTCTCCTCAGCTATACTGAGCTTTGTCGTCATTTTTCCAGACAGTAACTTTGTGAATATTGGTTGTGGTTTTCACAACCAATTCAATTCTAATTTAATTCTTATTCACTACATGTAAACAACCAGAATCAGAACATACCAGAGGCACCAAATTTACGCTTTTTACAGGCAGTTGCTTTTCTCCAGGGGGGAATGCATGAGTCCTCCTAGCTGCCTCCTTTTTCTCATTGGCTAGATGCTGAGGTAGACACCCACATTCTCTTCCTGATTAGGTCCAATTAGTCACAATGTATCCTTTCTCTGATTTGTCACACTCCTATGATGTGATCATTTGGATGAAGTGAACTAAATCAGAAAAGCAGTGAATGTAACATGGATTCATTTAAAACCTCAGGAGACACATTGAGGTAAAAACCTCATTGTCACTTGTGCCGAGATACAACGTAAGCATTTTTAAAAATTCAAACAGAAATAAAATAGTACATGTTTATATCAGTTAAAATAAGTTAGAAATAAAGTAAAATAAAAATGCAATTAAAAAAATAATAATAATAAGTGAAACAATATACAAATAAAACCAGCAGGGCAGCGATAGTCAAAAGTATTATTGTCAATTGATTCTCAGAATTACCTCAATGGTGGTATGAAGTCAACTTGAAGTTCTATGAAGTATTTTCCAAATATGTGGAGTACAGTAAAAAAATGCAGATTTTCCTCTGTGTGCATCTTTGGCATCTGCAAGCCATGTTTGTGATTGGGTAAATGGCAACCAACATTCCAGGACAATTCAGAGACAAAGAGCTTTCATAAAATAACTTTGTTAATTAAGTAATTAATGCTGATCCCTCCGATTACCTCTTATAACTTCACCACTCTTCTCCTTTATTTTTCTACTCTCGCTGTTCATGCTGTAAGACTCTGAAGAACGCCTGGCTCCAGAGGTACTGTGTAGACTCAGCAGATCCAGGAGTTTTGGTCCTGCTGGGCTGTGGCACCGTCTCCAGCACTTGTGGTCAGCTGGCATCCTATCCTCTTGCTCTCATCCGGACACGCATGCAGGCGCAAGGTAACGTATTCTGACTTATCACAAACATACTGAGCATGAACTTGGGTTCTTATGAGAACCACTGTAACTGCTGTTGCTTCTCTTCTAGCGGCCACTGCAGAGGGTAAACCCAAGATGACGATGATGGGCCAGTTCAAGTACATCATATCTCATGAAGGTGTACCGGGCCTGTATCGCGGCATCACCCCGAACTTCCTCAAAGTCATTCCTGCAGTCAGCATCTCCTACGTTGTGTATGAGCACATGAAGAAAGTCCTCGGGGTGGGTAACTAGGCTGAGACAAAAAAACAAGGGACAAGCAAGAGGAAGAAAACAGAAATGGAAAAGACTTGATACACAAGTGAGAAGCAGATCTGAGGTGATGGTGCAGCTTCTCAGACTGAAGATGAACTGGAGGAAATGGAAGGAAGTCTAGGAAAAGGAGAGGAGAAAGGAGGCATTTTTCAGATTGGGATGGTGCTGCTACAGTATACACTGCACTTTCTGTCGACACATTCAGGTTCCAGCTTGTGTAACTTGCTGCTCATTTGCCTGTGGATCATTTTTTTTGTGTCATTTGGAAAACACCCTGGTCCAGTGCACACAGCTTAACAATAGAGGTATTTTAACAGACTGTGGTCTAATAATATGCTGGATGTGTCATTTATTATTTCTCATTTATTGCTGCCTCTGGTCGTATCCAGCTGAGGTTGTTGGGCACAGGGAGAAGAGATACTGCTGTCTTGAAAACAGCTGGTTGAGCTGAAGATGACTGAAGCTTTTTTGCTAAGATAATTTAATAATATTAACAACTTTGGCTCCACAATGTGGGTCAGTAAACATTAAACATGTTTTTCATCCAGATTGGGATAAATGAAGGAGGCTCCTACAACCAAACCCAAACAATGAGCGAAGAATGACTAAGTCTTAGTTTCTTAGTCTTTCTTAGTCCTTAGAAAAATGCATTGTGGTAAGATACTATACTTCCAAAACATGGCCTCAGGTACTTTGCACATTACAATCTCCTGCATGTCCCAGACATTTACTGCAGCTAACCATACTGTCGTTTTTACATGAGAACGCATGAAACCTATACTTTGGTGCAGACCCTGTAGAAACACAGTATTACCAAACCTGGAAGGACAGAACATTTCAATGCACGAAAGTGCTTGGACACAATTGTAGAAAGATGTGATATCTGATGCAGGTGTTTGATGGAATCCCTGTATCTAACCTGCAGACAAACCTTTACTATGCAGAGGACAGTTTACAGTGTATGTTAGGTCTGACGGTGCTGCTCGTGTCTTCCTGTGTACAACCCTCAACAGCCCGGTGGTGATCAAACGTTGATCAAACAAAGGTCTGTGTTGTGGCATCATTAGTCTGGGAAGAGTTGAGGTACTTAAACAGCAATACACTTGTGTCTGGTATCAGGGACTTAATCATGTGACTGTGAAATGATACAAATGTTTGTGGCTGAAGAGGCATTCCATGTCCTAATACTTAAACAACTCAGGGTGTTGGGTGACCGTTGTTGACATGACATGAGGTAAAAATAAGCAGCCTCTCGTTTCATGGTTGTGAGGTACAGAGGTGCGTGCACAGCCAGTCAAAAAGAGAGTTGCGTCAACAACAGCTACCAACTCCTCACAGTTGAACTGAAACCTCTCTGTTCAATGTGGGATCCATATGACACAACTTCATTGAGCTCTCTGTGTGTCGTTCAGCCTCGTCAGAGTTTGAATAAAACAATCCCGACTCAAGGTCCACTAACTAGCTTTTTCTGCTGCGTTCAATTGTATCAAGATAAAGTCCTAATCAGCAGATGTAGTTTGCTCAGTCGTCAGGGAGATGGCAGTGTTGACATGCAGCACAATCTTATGTACTTGTAGGACTTTTCATCCATGTCTGCTCAAAGGTCAGGTCGGAAGGTTCTTGAGAATGGAAATGTTCATTTAAATGAAACAGTTCCATCTCAAAGTTGACTTCCATTTGAGCTTTCAACCACATTACACAAGGAATGCTTTTCTACTGACAAAAATGTGATACTGTTCAGAAAACACTAGTAGAGCACTGTACAAAAACGACCAGGAGCTGTGGGTGAGCTACAGGGCAGAGGTGTAATGGGGGTAAGTCAGCCAGCTGCCCTCTTACACAGAAATATAGGTTGTCTAGGATATTCAAGATTTATTTAGTTTGGTATCAGTGCATCATTTTCAAACACTAGCAGAAATGTTGCTGCAGTGTTTTTCTATGTCAAGGACATCCTCTTTATTAGCAAATCTGACAGTGAAATATCACCCACATCAGCATCAACACGCTCAGAGACAGGGTGGACCAGTGACCACAGGAGACTAAAGCAGGAGCTGACACACACTGTTCTGTAACTGGCTATGAGTGTTCTGTGTGCATCACATTTGCAGGCAGATTCCAAACCATATGGTATTTAGTCTTAATCATATTAAGCTATTTTCTATACCTTGTTCCCTGAAGCTTCAGCCAAAAACATCAACCTTAGTTGCAAGTGTCAAAATGTGAAGGTTTGACTCAACTGCAATTTGTGAGAAAGAGGTAAAGAGGTGACTGGGTGTGTAACTGCATGATTTTTAAATCATATTTAGGTCTAACTTCAATATGCACTGAATTAAAATTAGTTTCTGAAACAATTGCATGTAAAGGGGGGAGGGGGTGATGCACTCCTGTAGACTCTGAATGTCATTATTTGCATTGCAGACAAATAGTTCTATCATCTGTAATATTATGCTTGAATGCCTAATTCTGTTCAAAGTTTTTTTTCTTTATGTTTTATCCTGCAAGTGAATTTGAAATGATGAATGCTTGTTGCCACCGGGGCCTTGCAAGCATGACATATAGTATTTTTTGAGCTGAAGTGCATGTTTCTAAGCCTTTTGTGAAAGTGTAGCTGGCTGACATTGCCTTTCGTCTATGGGCTATTTTCAACCCTCAAAAAGAAAAAAAACAGAGCAGCAACAAGAGCTTTCTAGTTTTGATAAACGGTCTGTGTCAGTTGAATGTGTATGTGCACTTTACATGGCTCGATGATGGAATTAAATCTGTGACACTGGACAAAGAAGAGGGCTCTGACTGTTCAATGACAAATGATGTGTGAACACCACAAGCTGCTTCTGTTTGTGCAACTTCATCGTTAAAGCTGCACCTATTCATCTTTGGCCACTTGGGGGCAGTAGAACATGCTAAAAATACAACACACATATCATCTTATAAATTTGTGTTGAACGTGTCAGCAAACAGCTGTCTATTTACACATCGCAGTCTCAGGGGCATATTAGCAAAGAACAAAAGTTAAATATTCAGTTCAAATATTAGAGTTGTGTACTCTCACATTGTTGTTCATGTGAGAAAGGCAAACTCTGGAGACATTCGGACCCTATTCGCCAGAGTTCCTCTACAAGACATGTCAAAAAAATGGCCTAAGATAAGGGGAGGAAATAGAAATAACACATTTTTTAAAAGTTAAACATAACATTCCCCTTCAGTTCCCATCGCTGTAACATTCTCGTAGTCCTTAAACACTCCACCATGTTCCCCAGCTGGTGTTGACTGCTGTCACCTGGTGCTGACCAGGTAGTGGACAGCAGGTTTATCAGAACGTCTTCACTGACCCTGGTGGAGACAGTGGAGTGTGTGCACTAAGAAATACATAATTGATTGAAGACTCTAAATTGAATGTAGGTGTGAATAGTTGTCCAGGGTGTACTGCACCTCCAGCTCCCTTCAATGGATAAGTGGTACAGTGTATGGATTGAAAACAAAGCCCCATGAATTCATTACCAAAAATATTTTTCACATTTATTTATTTTCTAAAATGAAATATTAGATATTAAGTAGTTTTGTGCTTTGTTACTGAGAAATCTTGAAAAGCAAACTGAGATTCATTACTGTTCCTCTCCTCCAGTCACACTTGAAATAAGTCATGAGGCTGTGCAGGAACAGAGCGATACATGCTAATGTCGCGTGATTATATGACACTGTGTGAGTATCACATCCAAAATGTGAAGGTGAACTTCAAAACCAAACCACAATGCACATGATCTGTAAGAGATTCATGTTTGAGGGGTCATTGTCTGGTTAGTTAACTAGCACATAATCAGTGAGCTCTCTAACACAGAGATAAAAGCACAGAAGGGTCTGTCCTTTCACCAAACATGTGGAGAAGACGATGGGCTGATGACGATGATGATGGTCTCTCACCTGCAGTTTTAAAAAGGTGATTCACCTGTTATTGAATAAAATACATTTTCTTATTCAGCTTTTTGTCCTTTTTGCATAATGCTTTTTAAAAATTGGTAATATTGAGATTGACATGCAATAGAGCAAGGTGATTTAGTGTCCCAGATTACAAAGTGGCCTTTCACTGATGATCAAATTCAGGCAGAATGTGTCATGTCTCCTCTGGGTATGATATCTCCATTCTTTCTTCTGGTGTGGTTAAAAACATCTTAAGGGTTACACAAAGGTAGAATATGTTGATCTAATGTGTAAAACAGATACTGGAAAAGTTACAAATATCTACATTGCAAAAAATATCCCAGATTAGCAGAATTCACAGTGGTTTTTGCTTTACTGTGGATTTTGTCCTTTTATAGAATCGATACCAGTAATGTTTGTCTTGGACATTTAGATCACCTGAGGCTCTCATTGAATCCCTATGCTTTTGGACTCTTTGGCCCCTCTCTCTGCCACCTCTGTAATTTCTGAATAAATGTGGAAATAAATGTTGGCCATTATATACACTCTTTTTACATCGTCCTTTCTAGCAGAGCTGCAGAAGTTCTTGGATCTTTTACTCACCAATAAGGCAGGATGTCTCCATGGATTCATGTTGTGCCTACAGCAGAAAGCCACTTGATTAGAATTTGGTGGTCAAAGTTCAGAGTAGCTGTAATCTCACAAAACACCATTTGGCTAACTAATTCGATTTTGGTGGTCACATGTCTACGTCATGGTGAACTCCTAAAACGTAATTTGGCTTCTTAAACATTCTATCTCAGGTCTTCGTTTATCTTTCAAATTTGCATTTCAGTGGCCACAGGTCACAGTGGCCTCATATGAGTCTGGAAAGACAAATATGTAATATGATGGTCACACAATTACAGCACATTTATTAGTAGAAATTTTAGGGTAACAGATCCAATTTGTGCACACCTGGGGTTATCCATGTGGAGAGCTGGAGCCCTGGAGGAAAGAGAGAGAGACAGGCCTGAGAGACACAGTGAACTTGACGGGGCAGGCACTGAGATCTCTGGAACGCTAGAAAAAATATTTGAATATCATCAAATACTCGGTGAGTGGAGAGGAAGGCTTGCTCCGTGGGCGTCTAGCAGGGCATTGCGCACCGTAATCAATATTTTTTCTTTAATTACAAGCAAAAATGTTATTTAATTTACATCAATACAATTTTTCTTTGTTTTAGAACTGAAACAAAAAAATCAAATTTTGACTCAAGATAAAACAAAAACATTTCGTTAAAGTCCATGTTTAATTCAATGTACTTACTATTAATAAAGAGAGGAATACTCTCTCCAAAAGACTTAAATGTTTATTGTGATACATACATGTGTGACTGATGGCAACTCATTGAGGACTTCCACACCTTCAAGAACAATTCCAATGTCATGTGGTGGCCAGAGATGATCCTCCTCCTCCATGATGACAAACACGGCCATTGTACACTGCTCAAGCTCTGCTTCAGCTTCATTCTTCTGCACAACCTGATAAATGACATTGAATTATAAGAAAGCTATTCTGGGGACAGAGAACTCCACAATAGGCAAATATTTTTACAGGATCCAAGACTATGTATGAACTTTAAATTATAAATATTCAATGTTTTATGCTGTTTAAAGCTTAAAGGAATAGTTCACAGAAACATTTAAATTCACTCATTATTTACTGACCACTATGCCGAGGGAGGGGTGGGTGATGTGTTTGAGTCCACAAAACACTTCTGGAGTTTCAGGGGTAAGCTTTGTTTCAGCCAAGTCCAATACAATTGAAGTAAAAAAACATGCCTCCATATGCTCCTGTGGAGTCATCCAAGTGTCCGAAGGCATTTCATTTAAATTAGGCATAATTTATGCTGTGTTTTAAGCCTAAAAGTCCATGTGGAGGTGAAGGGGCGGAGAGAGCACCTTCACCTCCACCACAGAGGATCAATCAGCACAGGTGAGAGCTGTTAGCTGATTGATCCTCAGACTTTAAAAGGAGGCAGCAGAGCTGCCTCGGGAA